TTTTGAAAATCAAATCCGTAAATTGGTTTTTAAAGTACAATAAGTTTTCCAAAGCAAAATATTTTTGCTAAATTCAAGTGTTTGGCCCATTTTGTTTTTCCAAGAAGAGAAAAAAATACTTCCAATTGTTGCTTCCACTAATTTTACTAGTGGTGACTGCTGTGGACAGAACTTGCTCCACCCTCACCCCCCAATTCATATGTTGATGTTTTAATCTCCTATGTGACTATATTTGGAGATAAAACGCAAAAGGAGTAATTAAGATTAAAGGAAATCACAGGGAGGGTCTGATGGTAAGGCCACCTGAGGACACACTGACAAGGTAGACAATGCCAAGCCAGTGTCCTCACCAGAAACTGAACTTTGCTTGGCTTTAATCTGGGACTTCACATTTTTTTAAGGTATTTATTTTTTAGTTGTAGTTGGACACAATAACTTTATTTCACTTATTTATTTTATGTGGTGCTGAGATCGAACCCAGGGACTTCACAATTTTAGGACTGTGAGAAATATATTTCTGTTGTTTGAGACACTTGGCTGATGATATTGGGTTATGGGAGCCCTAGAACACTATAACAGTGACAATTCCTCCATAAATACACAAAAACTCATGCATACTAAAATAATGATGACAGCTTAAAAATACACTTAATGGAATATACCAACTTTCTCTGTGTATCATGTCTTAATGCTTTATTCTACAAAGTAGCTTTTTTCTAGACAAAATCTAAAATATTATTCCTGAAAATTTGTACTCCATACTCTAGTGTTGAGTATTATTTCACAATATTTCTATAATAGTAAATGATGTGGCTTTTGACTTAAGAAGAATGTGTTATAGAAAAAAAATAATATCAGGGGATTACGAACGAGGAGCTCTAGTTTCAAGCCCCAGATATGTCAGTATCAATTGTGAAAGCTTTGAAAAACTTAAAATTCTACTTTTAAGTATATATATATATATATATGCTTGTTTAAAATCAATAGGTTGGCTTTGATATATCAGATCTTTTCCAAATCTAAAATTATATAAGTATGCATGTCTCCTTGAACACTTCTAATTAGGAAATCTTCTTCATATTTTTGCCAATCTAACATTCTGTTCTATTTTTTCAGCTTCTCCAGTCAAGTTTCAGTTATATTTTAACTACATATAGACATTTCACAGCATATGGCAATCCAACAGTTGAATGTCACTATTAAATAATGTTTAAATCAGAGAATGGATTTAATATATGCTTTTTATAAAATAGAATGAAAAATTATTGTATGCATCCCTGCCTCTGATCCTGGTCTAATTTCTAACCTAACTATATGAATTGTTTGTGAGGACTCTGGCTCCTGGTTGGAGATCTCTTTATTATCTTTAGGTCCAACCATCGACAATTAAGAACCTTGTAAGACCCAGAAAAAGGCTGATGTTGGTGGACTTGACTAAGTGTAAGGACAGTGCACTGAAGTCTCTGAAGGGAGTGAGATCAAGGACTGAGGCCCTTCTTCCAGGTCCTGGTCTCTTTGCATTTGCATACCTAATTACCAGCTTTCATTCCCAGGTCTCTTTATTTCAGGTCTTGGCAGAGACCAGTCTTCTATGCTGAGGCCTCCCTCTGCAGTAGATAGCAGAAAGTAGGAATGGGAAACCTTCAGGATACTTCCCCGTTCTTTCACTTTTTCATTTCTACCACTCCACCTCTTACCTACCTCCTCACCTTGCCTTAGTCCACATAACTGCCTGAGAGCTGGTATTCAGGGTTCCTTCAGCAATTAAAATGATCCCTCTGACTCTGCACCGATGTGCCTTTCCACGGAGGGAGGGAGTCCATCAGGGAGTCAGCACCTTTTCCAGCTTTAAAACTGGCTTATGCCATCTCAGTAAGTGATTAAGTGATTTAAGGCTTTCTTCCTTTCTTTCTTTCTTTCTTTCTTTCTTTCTTTCTTTCTTTCTTTCTTTCTTTCTTTCTTTCTTTCTT